ATACTGTCCATTTACAGTTGAGCACTATTGCCATGTTTAGCACTGTTGCTGTGGTGCTCCATGTGCCAAATGAAGTCATAAAGAGTGACTCAAAGATTTGAGATCTGTCAACCATCTGTGCCTGGTATCTGTTCATCCTCAAGTGGGAAAGAGCTATTGATGCAGAGCTACAGTGGGATGTAGTGGTGCTAGAAGGTCTCTGGGGTGTGTCTTGGTTGTTTGAATTAGCGTGCCCCTTGCATAGCATTTACTGCCCACCCCTTCCTTCTTGAGAAGCCTGTTAACATGAGAACTGGTTACAGCATCTTTTGTTAAATATTTGCCGATGACCAGGAATACCCAGCCAGCTTTGCTGTGAATGAGAAACTTAATAATCCATGAAGATTTTTTTTTTTTAATACATATATCTTTAATTTACATTATGTTGGCTTCATAAATTAGGGGAAAAAGTGTTAGCTATGGCTTTCTTCCTGGTGTTGGGTTAGAATACGCCAGCTGTGACACACCATTTACAGAGATGGTGGGAGTCATTGTATATCAAAGCTGAAAATTAGATTGACCCTATCAGTGCAATATACCCTTTGGTAGTCCTTCTTGTGAGGGTTTCTTACGCATGTTATAAGAGCTGCCTCACTGTGTTGCAGGAACATACAGGAATGCGTGGAGACAAAATGATTGATTATTAGTCCCGGTATTTGAAATTTGATCTGTGCAGCAAGTGTTGGCCAATAATGATTTGTTTTCTTTCCCTTACTACCTTATTGACATTTTTCATTGTCTTAATGTCCCAAATTTCAAATCTGGAATGTCCTGCTATCAAGTTTGACTCTGCTTTATTTAACCCAAATGTAAATCCATGGTATAAAGCAATATGAATGATGTCTGAACTGAAAGCAACAACTTGGTATGTTGCCAAACTGAAGCCTTCATACCCTGTCAAATGCAAACACTAAAATAAATCTACATGGCTGTCCACTAGACTATGGGTCTGGCACAGCCAGAGATTGCTCTGACAGTAGCTCCAGATGTCTTGAGAAGAGAGACCTCCTTACGAGGCACATTTAATGAATTTTAATGTGTCACTCAGAGAGGAAATAGAATTTAACAGATTGCAGTAATTTTTATTTGCTCTTAAAGTGTGCCTGAGAATAATGGTCAGTCAGTAAAGTTGGTTTACTCTCTGTGTGTTTACCAGTCTGGGAAAGATTATGTCTTTTACTTGAGTTACCTTACTGAGTACAGGATACCTCTCTAAAACATGTGCAGTCTCTTAAAAGAACAAATCTTTTTATTTAATTCAATCAGTGTATATAATATTGTTTGTTGTTTGAAATATCAGTTCCTTTTAAATAAACTTGCAGGATTTATTGCCATGGAGCCAACTCAAACACTGAGAACTGATTCTTTAAATTGTTAGTGAACTGTATGGCCAATCAGGCTATGATGATAAGCCCTGAGAGCTCTAGGATACTCCTAAGTAAGTTTTACATTGTGGAGGTTTGAAAAGTCTGTGACTTTCCCTGAGAATTTTCCCTTGGTTGTCATGCCAGGCGATGTGTTATTTCAGGAATTTTAGAAATGGCAAGGAATTAGATTTTGCGACTTTGAAGTTCTGAAATATGTGGGCATTTTTCCTTATTTGTGAGTATAACAAACTCTGTGAGTACTCTGTTCTGTCTCCATATGTGGATATGCAGTTTTAGTTCTGGATAGAGAGGAATTTTTAGAGGAATCAGAAGGGACAAGCTGAACAACAGCACAAATTAAATAGCTGAGATAAATGATTCTACAGGATTAAGATGACCAAGGGCCATGCCTTTGTAAGGAAGAACCCATTTCTTGAAGTGCCAGATTGCCGAGAATTATTTATTCTTTCTTATTTTAAAATCTGGTATCACACAGAATCAGAACCTGGTTGTAGTATAAGGAATAAGGTGCGTCAGTTAAGGTAGAAAAAAGACAACACAAGGTGATTATGAAAACCTGCAAGAAATACTATGACGCATGAGAAAGATGTTGTTTGCCTTGTTTCATTTCCCTGAAAATGGACTTAGTTCCAGTCCCAGTAGGTGTTGTTTTGGGGGGTTGGAACTAGATGATCTTTAAGGTCCCTTCCAACCTAGGCCATTCTGTGATTCTGTGATCCACAAACAATTGCCTCGGGAGCCAGCAGCTTACCTGTGCTCTCCTGAAGTAGTGTTAGATACTCCAGATTTAGCTGTTATTTGAGCGACGCTTAAGTGTCTATGAATCCTGGGAAGCTAGGAAAATGGATTTTTCTTCAGGTGTTCTGTGAAAGAAATGCCTTCTTCCTTTTGTTTCTTGGGAGTTGTGGTCTACAACATCAATTCTTGTGGTGGATTTTTGGATTGAAATCTCAGAACTCCTTTTGGTAGGACTGATCTTTAAGTTTGAGATTTAAAACCTCTTAAAAGTTTATGTGAATCAAAATGTAGAGAGATTCCATAGATTTTTAGAGACTGTAAGAAATCTAAAAGAAAACAACCAACCAACCCCATCCCCAGTTGACAGACTATAGAGATTTCATATTTGATACGTGTTACCAGCAGCTAACTGTCCATGAGGGATTGTCATTATATCAGAATTTCTCAAATCATAAATGATGAGATCTTCCTCCTACCACCACCAATTTCTCACTTTCCACTTGCTGAGGACAGAAAGCAGCCATAACAAAGGTTACTATCTATAGTATGCTTTGTAAGTGCATCACTGTTTTTTTCATAGCTGAGTTTAAAAGAGGGGAAAGATTGTCTCCTAGGAGATTAATCAAACCTTGGAATACCTGAAACTTCTTATGCCTCTGGTAGGATTGTGAGCAAAATCGTGTAGCTCAAAATTCACAGGACCAGTTAGACTTCTGCCTATATTTATGTACTTAAATACGGTTTTAGATCTGGCCTTCTATACTTTGGATTCCCAGTCTCATATTTGAAACTGCAAATAATTAGAAATTTGATGGCATTTCACTACCTCACTGGGATATTGAGATGCAACTGCATACTGTGAAAATATCTAAACCACAAAGGTTAAAAAGTGCCTTATGGCAAACTGCTCTTGAAAGATACTCTTGATGTCTGAATCTCAGAGCACCCATTCATGTCACATTTTTCTTTGCATATACCCTGGCATAAAAAGCTAATGCACGTTTATGACAAGGAAAAAAACCAATTGTGACTTCTGTGTGTAAAACTTTTCACATAATAGAATACACACCTTTAATAGAAAATGATGAAACAATCCCTATAACTCTGCAGTGATCAAAATTCAATATTGTTAATATAAACAGTTTTATTTTAATAATAGGAGATTTTCAAGGAAGAAGTACTCATTTAGTTCTAAGAGATGTTTGACCTCTGCTACTTCATAATCCGTTAGAGAGCACTAAGGTCCACATAAGCTGGTTTTCTTTCTCGTTTACCTGGAAGGCATTATTTTTTCAATAAATACCAAAATCAAGTCAATATTTCTAGAACCAGGATAATTGCCACTTTAAATGGACTAATCTTTGCTCAGAAGTTGTCTGATACTTTATATCCAATGCCAGCAGGAAAGAAATAATTAAGATGTATGCTTTTGGTAATTGATCAGGAACATTTGAATGGGTTACATAAATAATAGACTAATCAAAGTATTGTCTAACCATTTATAAAAAACACATGCCCTACTGCATGTACATTTATTTAAATTAATGTTGCTGTCAGAATTTATGAGAAATTTTGAAAGAGGATTTCATTTTCACCTTATGGTTAATGCTCTCATAAATAATAATTTGTCAATTTATAGGATAAAATAAATTATTAAATTGTTCAGTGTAGGTCTTTAAAATAGAGGTGTGCATATACTGTTCTGGGCAATTACTCTATGGATAAAACTACAACTTTCAAATCTCATTTTCACGTCTGCCAGATCCTACTCTAACTCATTTTCTGTTCTAACAAGAATTAATGATATTAGTAATCTAATGGTATGCAGAAGAGACCTGGAACTTTTCTTGTGTATGCAGTATCATGCAGTGGTTCTCTACATAAAGTATTTTATTAGTATGTCATTTATAACTGACCAACAGATTATCTAAAAAAATAAAATAATAAAAAACATGACCAACAACAAAAAAACACCCAAGCTGTTCCAAAAAAATTGGATATTTTAAAAATTTGTTAGGAATTGGTTTCTGGTCCTTGTGTAAGCCCATGAAAATTATACTTGCTAATCATGTACAAAGCGCTGATCTGTCTTGGAGTTGAACACCAAGAAGCTTCAGTTTGGTAGTTTGGGGTAGGGCTGTATCTATCTGCAAGCAACTTCTATTCTTTTCCACTCTTTTTTAAAACCACTTCAGCTTTGTATGATTCTATGAGGAAAGAATACACTGTCAACCTGAATATTTGAAATTAAATGAAAATTAATATTTCTCTTGAATGGTAATTTGAACATGTTTTTTTCATGTGATCTTTTACATGCAAACCAAAATACCCATAATGTGAAAGATACGCTATTGCACAGTCTGTATTTATTTATGTCCATATCATGTTGCTATTTACTTCAAAACTGCTATTTATGTCGAGGTTGCTATTTACTTCAAAACTGTCTGATATATATTCCTTGGGCTCCACAGGTACTCACTAAAAGGTGCTGTGACAGCCTGGCATCAGCAGAGTCCTTGCATGGAAACAGCCACTCTTTCCATCAGCAGTCACTGTCATCTGCTATGTTGTCTCTGGGCTGAGCTTCTCAGGCTCTGTGTAGGGTGGCTTCCCCCGCCCCCGAACAGGAAAGTGGGGCCTCTGCATGTGTTTTACCCCACATTTTTGCAGGATACTAATATTTCTGCTTTTAATTGACTGTAGTTTTACGGGAGAGTGTGTCCCAGATGTGATTGCTGTAAAATGAAAGAGCACCAGTGTTGGGCTTGAATGTTTCTCATCCAATTACCAATTGCCCCTTCATTTTATTTTGAAAGGTTTTTTTTTCACTTGAGTATGGGGTTTCCAAAGGATTCTGGTAATCCTGGATTTTTTCCCTTGTTTTTACAGGTGACCTGTAACTGTTTCACCATCAGCAATGGAGAGATGCAGGATGTTGGTGTTGGCCTGTATCCCAGGTACTGCGGACACTGTTTCATTCACTGGCAAAATCTGTGTTAGTTTTTTTTCCTTTTTTCCTAGGTAGCCGTAGGGACCATCAAAGCAGCAGGTAACATGTCCAAATGAGAAACTGGGAAATGCAAATAAATTAAAGGAGAATAAAAAAAATATGGAAGTTGAAAACATTCTTAATAGTCCTGATTACAGAGTTAAAACAGTTTAAATAGGATATATCTTTATATTTTATTTTTATGCTGGTGGTAGTCTTTTCTAAGTAAGAATAAATGCTGACATCAAAAATGTGTGACTGAGACTAGTAAAAGGAAACCTGTTCAGCATTGCTTTAGAATACAGATATTTTGTAGCCAAGAGCCTTCTGAACTGGCAATTAAAAGAAAGAGACTGAACACGTTTATTAGTAAATTACCATAACTAAGAAACCAGTAAGGTGAAAAGATAAGCCCCTTGAGAGATGGATGTTAATATTTGAGTAATTTCTTACTTCTGTTGGGTAAGAAGTGTGTACCAGGGAAGGTTTTGCCTTCATAGAATTAGTTACCTGTAATTATTAATGTGGAAAATTAATATGCATAGTTTAAAATTATATTTTACCATCTCAATCTTTTGTTAATGCATGGTTGAGCTATGTTGTCAATACCTCAGTGGGCCTGTTGTTGTTTCTTTTTCTACTAATGTCACATGTATAAGATTTGACTAAGGACACTTAATATCTTGAGGCCTGCTTTGTGGTAAACATAAGGGAAAGGTGGTTAGGAGGACATGGGAATTAGTGTTATGAAAAGTACAGAACAGTCATTTGATTTCACAGTAGAATGGAAACAAATCCTTTCACATACTTGGGGAAAAATGAAACATTTTTTTGGAGCATTATTATTAGTGAAATGTTTTCTTTGGCTTCAAAAAAATGCCCCTGACTGGGAAGAAAGTGGCTATGTTCTGTGATAGTGCAGTGCCAAGGGGTGCAAGAGACTCTTGCCCAAGTCAGTTCAGAGCAGTTGAGTTCTGCCATAGCAAATCACTCTGAGCTGGGAACATTGTAAGCTTAATTCTGTGGTTCCCAAATCCTAGGCAAGTGCCCTTCCAGATGAATTCACATGCTTCCAGGTGAAATTGTCATCAAAACCACCAGTGTTTCCATGAGATGAAATTTGATTAAAAGTGCTTTGGTTAGTCTCATTAACAGGTTGTATATCGTTGTATGGCTTGATAGCTTCAGCATCCCTATATATTTTAAAATAGATAAAATCCTGTGGTGGTTCTCTGCATCACCTTGCCAGCAGCTTTCAGAGTAAGCTCAGTGATCTCACAGGAAGTGAAATGGAAACTCTCTCCCACTGTACATTACTGGGTTCATGTGGAGATATTTTATGAGGCCAGAAGGGACCTCAAAAGAGTCAGGCTCCTGTTGATAGCTCCTTTAAGAGTCAAGAACTGAATAAACATGGTTTGGTGGAGGGCTCTGACCCTCGGCAACATCGTCTATTTTGCCAACAACAGCTGGGGTTTTGAGAAAGCAAATAAAGGCAGCCAGGAGCTGGATAAGCCAAAAATTCTTCTTCCAGCCTGATGATCCCAGAATTGTACTTTCAATGGGTCATTCCCACAGGGCAAGAACCATAAGCCCCATGTCTGCTATGGGACTGATGTTAGCCTGGCAAAGAAGTCAGCTGTTTCTCAGCTAGTGAAACAAGGGATTCAAAAGCATATAGCAGATGTTATTGATGTTGTTCTGAACAGTTTCCTTCAAAAAAGAGGAAAGGGCATGTCTGTGTCAGGAGATCCACCAACGTGTGTGTCTCTTAGGGATGGCTGCAGATCCCCAATGAGTTGTGCTGCTTCAGCTGTCACACACCACAAGAGCAGAGGCTGGACCAAAATATGTGTAGCAGAGGCAATGGCTGTATCTCCTCTTTCAGCTCTATACACCAAGTATACTATGTTTTTGGGATATGGTATATTCTGTTTTCTACCTGCAATGAAATACAGATTGATTGCTGGCCCCTTTCTCCTTCAGTGAGGGTCAAGGTACCTGATAAGGTTAGTGCCCTGAAACTGAGCAGAAGCAGCAGAAATAAAACACAGTGCCAAGGTGCTAACCTTTTGCTCTGCCTTGTTCCCCACTTGCCTGCTTTGCCCTCTCGGAGAGTCACTGGGAGGCTATCACCTCCCTCCTGCCCTGAGTACACAGAAGGCAGAAACACGTGAAGAGATCCAGGCATGGCTCCTATTAGCAATGATTATAAATCTTCTAAGCGTTAATTTTCCTCCCCTAACCAGGAGCAGCTGATTTACCAGGGATTTTATCTGTTTCATAACTTAATTGCTTATTGCTTGATACTTCAGATGTAATCGTGTTAGCTACCTTTAAATGATTAAAGGAGAATGGCAGTGGAGGCTCCTCTGTAAAGTTCTTTCTCTCTCTTTCTCCCCCTCTACCACCCCTCACAGCATGTCTTTACTGAACCACAGCTGTGACCCAAACTGCGTGATCGTTTTTGAAGGATACCAGCTTTTACTTCGCTCCATCCGAGAGATCCAGATTGGTGAAGAGGTAATTAACTTGTCCTCCCTTCCATCACAGACACCTGCAACAATGACATCTCCCTAAATAAATTCCAGACTGCAGGGCCACCAGCTTAATATTTTGATGATATATTGATGCCACTTTCTAGCACATAGCTATCAGGGGGGAAATGATAAATAGAATCATCTCTTCACACTGCCTGGGCCCCATAATCATTACTTCTCATAAATCACTAGCAGTCTTGATAAATTCTTGTTCCTCCTTTCCTCCTCTAGGCACTTCATTTAGTTTGTATTTGAACGTCTTTACCCTGGTGGAAACACTTACAATATTTCTGGGTGGAATGCAGTGCTCACTAAGTCATTGCAACAATAAGCATTTGTCAGTGTGCAACCATACTGTTGTAGTAAACCTTTCATTGACAGTGAAAGTAGCAAGGCAAAGTTTGTTTTCTTGTCCATTTCATTATAAAAGACTTCGAAATATCCCTTTCAAGAGACTTCTGATTTGATCGAAGGTATTCTCAGCTTTGTTGTATAACAGCATTTGTATTACTTTAAAAATAATAATTTGTGACTAGGTAAGCATTTAAAAGTATATGTCTTTTGCAGCAATACAATATTGAATTTGCATAGTAAGGCCTGCAAAGACGTGTGTATCTGTAACCAATGACCTATGCAGTCCTAGCTGTTGGTCATGCCAAAATCATGACCTAATGTAAATATGGTTCACGCCTGTGCTTCAAACTCTGGGATGATCAAGGGCATATATATTCTAATTGAGAAGTAGTGTCTCTTGCTGCCTATGAAGTGTTTTCTCTTTTTACTGTATCCTTTCTCTAAGATAGCAGACTATCAAAATAAGTAAATGGTAAAATATTTTTTTAGGCAAAATATTGTGGACGACCAACAGAAATGGTTTGCATACTTACCTTTTGGCCAAGAAAAATCTTTTAGGATGCCATATACTTTTGTGGAGCTATTAAGTGTAGACATCTTTCAGTCTGGCATTCTTGTTCAAGCCAAATTATAAGCATTTTTCTTCCACTTTATCCATATACCGTAACTTTCCTCTTGGCTTCCCAATTGACCAAGATGAGTTGTTCATTTAAAAATACAGCAGATTTTAATGTCTTTCCAGGATGCATTTGGGTTAATTATTAGAGTTCTGAATACTGAGGCTATCTTATTCTTATGTATGTGGATATATTTTTCTAGGTAAATTTCATAAAGCAATTCTTTGTAAAAAGCAGCTTTTACAGAATGGGAGAGGCCCTCAGGTGGCCCTCGGTGGTTCTGGAGTGAGAGGTGAAGTAGAATTCCCTTGCGGGCTTGACCACCATGCAGACTGTGCTGTGGCTAGGAAGCTATGACCCAAATTTTAGACTTAGTGTTAGTGGTCTGTAACCCACAGAAGTCCCTAGGTTAAAATCAGTGGTGAAACAGATATGCTGTAAGTTACAAGTCATTTGTAAGGCAATCAGGAAATAAATGTAAAGCAGGGCAGCCAGGACCAATTTGTTTGCTGTGACTTTGGCAGTTGTGTGAATACAGAATTTAAAATGACTGCACCTTGTGTGGGCATATAATATTTTCTAAAAAACTTTGCCTCCAATGAGGCAGTCAAATAAAGTCAGAAGTTTCCAAAGAGTTCAGGTTCTGGTGTCTTTGTTGCAACATTTAGTTCTGGTTTTAGTACTGAAGGGAAAACTTGCCCTAAGGAACATATAAGATTTTATTTTATATATATATGTATACACATACATATATACGCTGTGTTAAAGCAGGTGCCCTCTTGACTTACCCGGAAATAAAAGTCTCAGTCTGAGGTACATGCTTCTTTAATAAGGATGTGTTTAAGGAATAAAATGGGCATAAGTGAGAAAGTGAAGATAAAAAGTGAATATTAGTTTAGATCTGTTATAGGAAGAGGAAGGAAAAGAAAATTATTATGAGGGGACGTGTAAGTCAGCAGTTTAATATTATTTTCAACACCCAATTACTTTTCCTCTTATACAACTGCTGCCGCTTTTCATTTTGTGTTCTGCATGGCAGCTTTGGTACAACTTCTTTCCACACTGTCTTACTGATGCCTGCAGCAGGGTGAGCTCAGTTTTCTTAATAGCCGTGTATTGAATTTACACACCTATGGACATGAAACTACATTACCTGTTATGAGCTGATTTTTCACTTATATTACTGAGGTCATGAGCTGAGCTAATGGGAGAGAAAATACGTGTTAGGAATCATAGAATGGTTTGGGTTGGAAGGGACCTCAAAGACCATCTAGTTCCAACCCCCCTGCCGTGGGCAGGGACACCCTCCACGAGACCACGTTGCCCAAAGCCCCATCCAACCTGGTCTTAAACACTTCCAGGGTTGGGGCATTCACAACTTCTCTGGGCAACCTGTTCCAGTGCCTCACCACCCTCACAGTGAAGAATTTCTTCCTGATACCTAATCTAAATCTACCCTCCATCAGCTTGAACCCATTACCCCTTGTCCTATCACTACACTCCCTGATAAACAGTCCCTCACCATCCTTCCTGTAGGCCCCCTTCAGGTACTGGTAAGCCGCAATTAGATCTTCCCAGAGCCTTGCCTTCCAGGCTGAACAATCCCAACTCTCTCAGCCTGTCCTCATAGGAGAGGTGCTCCAGCCCTCCAGTCAGCTTCGTGGCCCTCCTCTGGACTCACTCCAACAGCTCCATGTCTCTCCTGTACTGGGACCCCCAGAGCTGGACACAATACTCCCGGTGGGGTCTCATGAGAATGGAGTAGAGGGGCAGGAATCTGATTGGGTTTTCTGAATAAACTGTGTACTCTAAGGTGGTAAGATGAACATTGTTTCAAGTCATGAGGCAACAAGAAAACTTAAATAACTATAGGCAGCAGAAAACTTGCCTTAACCTGTTCAAATGTACACTAGATTTTAGACAGAAAGAGATCCCCTATGTAATTTTTTGCACATTTGTAGTGCTTTCTATCAGAGGACACTACACCAATTTACTCATGATAAGGAGTTGCTGACCACCTATAATCACAGGGAAAACAGACACAGGGAGTTGAGGCAACTGGCCATTTTGGTCATCCCAAAGTTATATAAAGAGGGACGAACTAGTAAACCTGATTTTGCTTGTAAACCAGGAGAGATATTATTATATCCGTCCGTCTTGGGTGTAGCTGCTGCAGTGTGATGCGGATTTACTCAGGAATAAAATTTATGCCCTAACCACACTTTAGAGTGCTTGTGCTATACACAGTAATTATATTTATCAAATCAGTGATAAAAAGCTTGCAAGATTATGAGAACCTCGAAAAGTTTTTATGTCCTGATGAAAGTTGTTTCAGTTCAGTTTTAGTCTCATGTCTAGGCAGATTTTGTTGGTTTTGCATATTTTTGACAGGAAGGCATGTGGCATTTAGTGTTTTTTTAATTGAATTTTGGTTTGAGCTTTGAAATTTGTTGAAATCCTAAGCCAAAATGTGTCTCAGGCAGTAGAAAAATAGGACTCCTGAGACAGAAAATGTTTGCCTGAATCCTTACAGACTGAATGTGCTAAATTTGATGGTGCTATATATTTGGGAAACTAATCACTCCTAAAATCATACACAAAAATTCTAGCCATCTAGGCCTTTTGTGGCAAAGACAGTGTTGCCAGTCGTGAAGCACTAAGAAATCATGAGTTGTGAATGTTATTTTTTGTAGGCATTGAAAGAAGGGACTCATTGCACGGTTTCCCAAGTTGAAGCTTTAGGAAAACAAAATGTATTGCAGGAACAGCAATAAAATACTGAGAGTTGGCAAGATGGAGAAGTGTCTGGTCCTTAAATTTTCCTTCAGAAACCAGAAGTTCATATTTATCTTTAGGTATATTATTTGAGGTTTATACTAATGTGGTTCTATGAAATTGCATGCGATTTGAGGGCAGAAAGTTACCATTTTAAATAAAAACACACTACGTTCCCATTGGCTTTTGCCAATGAACGCTGTAGTTGATGTTCAAAATAACACCTTTCATTTCTATCATTATATAACTTATTTGTCTGTTTCAATAACATCTATAATCCTCATTAAATGTAGAATTTTTAAAGTGAAATTTTGGGTCTGTGTGGTGAGTTTACCCTGGCTGTAGGCCAGGTGCCCCCCAAAGCCGCTCCATCACTCCCCTCCTCATATGGACAGGGGAGAGGAAATACAACAAAAGGGTCAAGGTACGGACAGGGAGAGATCACTCACCAATTGCCATCACAGGCAAAACAGACTCCACTTGGGGAAATCAGTTTAACTTATTACCAATCAAATCGGAGTAGGCTAATGAGAAATAAAACTAAATCTTAAAACACCTTCCCCCCACCCCTCCCTTCTTCCCGGGCTTAACTTTACTCCTAAATGCTCTACCTCCCCCGCCACCAGCAGCACAGGGGGATGAGGAATGGGCGTTGTGGTCAGTTCATCACACGTCTCTGCTGCTCCTTCTTCCCCGGGGGGGGGACTCCTCACACTCTTCCCCTGCTCCGGCCTGGGGTTCCTCCCACAGGAGACAGTCTTCCACCAAGTTTTCCAACGTGAGTCCTTCCCACGGGCTGCAGTTCTTCAACTGCTCCAGCATGGGTCCCTCCAGTGACAGGTCCATCTTGGAGCTGGCTGGCATGGACTCTATTGGACATGGGGGAAGCTTCTAGCAGCTTCTCACAGCAGCCACCCCTGTAGCCCCACCCCCACCCTGCTACAAAACCTTGCCACACAAATTCAGTACACTCCGATAGGAAACTTCCTTCAAGCTTGGTAGTCTTTCTTTTTTTTTTTTTTTTTCTTACCCATCCTTGCTCTGATTCTGTTATAATTCATATAAGGTGGTATGGGTCTATGCTAGTACCCCAGATTCTAGTGCTTGACCAGCTGGTAATCATCACCACTAAATGTCAGTGTTTTCTGTGCTGCAACTGGCATAAAGGGAACAAAACAGATAGGGAGCAGAGGAGAGAACAAAAGTAGTGAAAGGAACACGAAGCTTGGGAGCAGCTATTGATCTCCATTCATAGACTGGGGTTTGAGGTAGCTAGAAGGGGTCTCCTAACACTCTGTAGACTCTACTGTATACCAGGTTTTTGAGCATAATTGAATCTAATAGCAGGAAAAAGAAATAATAGATTTTTGTGGGGATTTTATTCTATATGTCCCTACTTAAAAGACTACAGGACTTTCTGAAGCTTGCTTCCAACAGCTCAGAAAAAATCATAACACCTTTTTGCTCCTCAAGATAATGTTAGTTGTAGTGCTGACTAGCACAGCTTTTGTAACTTAAGGTGATGTTTGCATACTTTGACAGTATACAAAGATTTCCTTTTCCTGCACTTTCTTCTTTGCACAAATGAAATTTAAGTATTGTAAAGAAAGGTAAGATATAAGGAAGGATTATAAGAAAGCAAAAATTATTCACCTAGAGATCACCAGGGCTCCTTCAGTGATACGGTAGCCTATCAGCTAATTTACTTTCTCAAAAAGACAAACAGCCTGCTCTGAAGAGGTCTTCATCATTTCCCTACCCTTAAGTAACCACTTTAAACAGCATCAAGATGTATGCTATAATTTCAATTGACTTTCTGTTAATTACTGTGTCTTCCTGGTGTTTTGTAGGCAGACATGAGCTCATTTTGCCTGTTCTCCAATCAGAAGTTGTATAGCTATGGTTAGTTTAGTGCCTATCTCAAATCAATTAGTCCTGCTGAGAGACAGGATGTATTAGCTGAGGTCCAAAATGAATCCATGGCTTCTCATTAGCTTCATAGTTCATTTGGAGTAAATTTGTATCTTTCTGCAGAAAGTCACATAGCAGACGGTACTCTTAAAGAGCAACCAATTTTTAAAATTGATGCTAAATACAAATCATAATTTCAAATGACCAGCAATGAAATCTATCATGAAGATAGATTTCAACCAAGATATGTAATATTTCTGTTGCTATAATTCTATGAGAAGACATTTTATATCTGTGTATGTTTGACACATTACATTTTGTCACATTACATTTTTTAAAAAGGAAAATTTTCCTTGAGTTAGGAGGAATTTTTGATCGTATATGCCAAAACAGAAAGAGCACAGACTATTCACCACTTACGTAACTCTGTCTCAGGAACAGATTTTTGTACACAACCTTCCCTCACACCCTGAGACCCATGATTGCAAAAACAAGACGACTCACTTTTTTTCCCTGCTGTTTGCATGAAAATAATTGATTTGAAATTTCTACAGCCTGTTACAAAAACCATAAATTAACTCCACTGCAGCATGGCAGTACTGGAAAATTGTCCCCACCTCATTTGGCAGATGAGAAACATGAGAAACTAACCACCATACACATAGTTAAAGAATTTCTGTGTCAGAGCAAGAAACAGGGCTCAGACAGTGCTGCATTTCTAAGGAGAAAGTCTTGAGAGTCAATAAGTCTCACGGCTGTTAAATAATTCCCTGCCTTCATAAATGTGATTTAATATATATTCTCCAGTTTGGGGAAAAAGATTTACTGCATTCTTTATAAGCGATGCAATAAAGAGGCAAGCTTTGGTCAGCTGAAATAATGTTTTAATTAGTACCATATATCCCACATGCAAATACCATTAAGACAACCTTTGATAAATGGGCATATTTCCTAAATATGTACAAGTTAAATGAGCCTTGCATCTAATGAAGGGATCCAAAATTAAAACAAGTGTAGGAGAGAGACTTGAATACAGAATTTTATGTTTAAACGATTAAATGATTAGTATAGACTTAGTCACCGTTAGGTTGGTCATGTTTCTAAATATTCTAATTACATTTTCCCACTCAGTCTGCCAGCTACGAACATTTTTTCACTTACGGATTTCTGCTGGCAGGACTGGGAATTTGGACTGGGGCCTCTGACAGCAAGAGAAACCCTAAGTTGTTGAAACGCTAAAAAGAGGCATCAATGTGACAAAGCCTCTTCTCCTCCTCCTTCTGCCTAGTCATATGCTGTAATCCAGAGCAGGTTGTCACGTGACTGTTCATATCCAGAACTGTTTGGTAACCTCTGAAAAAGAAATCACTGGTTTCAAACTTCTAAACTTGTTCCTACTTCCAAGGTTTCTGCAACATGAATTACTTGTTCCTACTTCCAAGGTTTCTGAAACATGAATAAAAAAAAAAAAAAAAAAAAAAAAAAGGAAAAAAAAGAAATGCAAGAAAGCGATGAAGCCTGTAGGCTGAAGATAGATAAAGCATGTTCAATGTTGGCTGTGGGTTTGTTTTGCAGTACTAGAACGGAACCCTGCCTAATGATGGGTTCAACAGTAATGATAGAGTTTAAACCATTGTCTGAAGTATTTTGGCCAAAAATAGACTAATCTCACGAGAATAATTTTTTCCAGAAGATTCATACTGTCTTGCACTATGCATGAACTTGATTAAATCCCTTTTGCTGGTAGGTGCCATCTGAACCTAAAGCCCAGTAGGACATGAGTCAGAACCAGTGATGTTTATGGAGAGGATTAGAGACAGGGAACAAGCCAGTGTGTGGAATGATTTTGACAGAAAACACTTGCGAGTTGTAAGGAGACATAAGATCAGAGGCTTGTGATGGGAGAGGGAAATTGGGCATGGAATGGATGAAGTATGAGGTTAGCACTACAGCTTGACTGGAAACTGCTTTGTGGGAAGGAAGGGAGAGAGATCTTTCTTACCACACCAGGGAGGATGCAGAGTAGGACCATCTAGTGAAAGAAACAAGGTCCAAGTTGGTGAGGTCACTGAAGATGATTGAGAAACCAGAGTAGAGCAACAAGGACTGTTAACTTGGGAGAGTAAGAGTGTTGGCGATCAAATATGGGGAAAAGGTGTAAGATGTTGCATGCAGGGCAGGCAGAAAGACAGATCTGGGACTGGCAGGATGACAAAATTGGCCCATTGTACCAAGAATAGCTCGGTAAGGCACTAGAAGTGAGGGCTGGATTAAATAAACAGGTGTGGAGAATAAGACTGGAAAATTATACTCATGGCCAATGGCAGAGAAGAGGGACAATAAGAGGAACAGATTGGAGAGAATGGGGAAGAAGAGTCCAAGCTTGGGAGAAAAGAGTAGAAAAGAAAGAGGCAAAACAAATTGCATCCATTCACCTCAGAAAGCTCAGAGGGAAGCCTGCAGCTCCTGTGTAAATGATTACTACAGACTGTCCTTCTGTAAACCAACAGTGTGAAACTAATCCCCTCTCGGCTCAGACACACACAAGCTGGGACAGAACAACATTATATAGAATGCAAAACCTAACAAAGTTCTCACACTTTCTAACTTTTTATTACCTATGGAACTTAAATTTTTGTTGCTTTCATTGATTATACTATTAATCTTCAATTATGAGATCATATTTATTTTTTCCACAGGCTTTCTGCTTATGATCATTTCAAATGCTTGACTTTGCCATCTCAGTAATCTTCTTTTAATATAGTCCTCCTTCAATATATAATAAAATTACATTGTAATAATAATAAATGAAAAAAATGCAGGCATTGTTTTAGTTGCTTGTCAATTGCTTGTTTAATTAGAATGCCTACTAATTTGCAAAATGCAGGTTCTGACAATGGATTTCATAGTCATTACTACAAATTGGTCAGGTTTTCCTGTAATTTCTTTGAGTGGACTCTCATGATTTAACTGAGAACCATGTGAAAATTCTTCCAATTAGTTGAAGTGTCTAGGCTCATGATGAAATAATGTGACCTGATTTTTTTTAGCTCTGACCTCTCTGGAGTGTTTCAAAGTGTTGGGTGTGAGCGTAATCACTCAATAGCGTGAATGACTGAATGCTGGTCTGAGTTGGGCTGTTATTTTGTTATATTCTTTCCCTTATCATTAGTTTGTGCCTGTGCAGCACTTTAAACATTTGGAGAAGTCTACAAATGGTTAGCCCTGTAAAATTCCTTCTGACAGGCATCAAAGTGAACAAACTACAGACTTCTGTTAGTTCATTAGAATTCACTCTGTACAGCATGAGGAGTTGAAACTGGCACAAATCTAAGCATTTTCTTTTATCATTTTAATAATTTTTCTTGTCAATAGTTTCAACAACTTTGCAATGCTTTTATGCTTCCTTGGTCACAAAGGAAACCTCACAGACATACTGAAGATGGATGTGACATAAGATGAGCTGTCCTCAGGCTCAAACATATATTTGCAAGAAAGTAGGGCCTTTCCTGAGATGAAATTTTTTGAGATAATTGGTTGTTGTATATCAACAGTGCTAAATACACACTTAAGCTTTGGAGCTGGACAGAAAATAAGTTTTCATGCATAAGGACTTCAGATACTGAGCCTTTTTCTTTCCTTTCTCTCTTCTCTCTTTTCTCTCTCTCTTCACTCTTCTCTCTCTCTCCTTGCTCTTTCTCTCTTTTTTTTTTTCCTTCCAAATTAGGATGAAAAGTTGAAATAGTCATAATTTGAGGGAGGATTCATAATTTCAAATGATATTGATCTGGAAATATGAAAAAGTGTTCCTCCATGGAAATTATTTTTGGCCCTTATTTTTGCCCTTTATAAAAGTCGTCAATTTCTTCTAGGAAATCATCTGTTAAGATAAAATTTTATTTTATGCTAGAAAACATCGTATCCAAAAAATGTTACCTTAACAATACATACACCCAAAATGGATTTTTTGTAAAATATAACAACTCTGGTTTTGTATGTACTGCATACAGCTCACCATCAGCTATATTGAATCACTGATGCCCACCAGCGAGCGCCAAAAACAACTGATGCGCCAGTATTGCTTTGAATGTGACTGTCTTCTCTGCCAGAATCAAGAAAAGGTAGGTTGAGTGAAGAAATTCCTTGCCCATGAAAGAGAATTTTCCAAGGCCTGTCAGCAGCTTCTCTTCCTTTACGTAATACTTATCTTTTGCTACTAATTAAATGGCCAGAATAGAGAAGAAAATGACCTCTGTCCTCAGTGGTGTTTATGTTCCTATGATAGTCAACTGTGAAGGAAAGAAAAGCAGGAAATGTTGACAACATGATAAGAACTTCTTGCTAAAACATCCATTGTTCATAAAGATAGAAACCATTTTCACTTCCAAGATGTGGTTAACATAATTTTGAGATGATTCCTATGACTGGAGCATTGGAATGGAAGGGCATAGGCTCTTTAGGAAGGACAGGCAGGGGAGACGAGGAGGGGGTGTCACTCTCTATGTCAATGACCAGCTGGAGAGCATGGAGCTCCGCCTGGGGATGGATGAGGAGCTGACTGAGAGCTTATGGGTCAGGATTAAAGGGAGGGCAGGGATAGGCGACATTATATTGGGGGTCTGCTACAGGCCACCTGACCAGGAAGACTGAGTGGATGAGGCTCCCTATAGACAGATAGGAGCAGCCTCGCATTCACAAGCCCTGCTCTTCATGGGGACCTTCAACCACCCCAGTGTCTGTTGGAGGAACAACAGAGCACAGCATAAGCAACCCAGGAGGTTCCTGGAATGCATTGATGACAACTTCCTTCTCCAAGTGATAGAGGAGCCAACAAGGAGACGTGTCATGCTGGACCTTGTTCTCACCACCAACAAGAAGGGGCTGGTGGGGAATGTGAAGCTCAAGGGCAGCCATGAAATGATGGAGTTCAAGATCCTCAGGGCAGTGAGGAGGGCGCACAACAAGCTCACTACCCTGGTCTTCAGGAGAGCAGACTTTCGCCTCTTCAGGGACCTGCGTGGTAGAGTACCATGGAATAGAGCCCTGGAGGGAAGAGGGGCCCAAGAAAGCTGGTTTGTATTTAAGGATTACCTCCTCCAAACTCAGGAGCAATGCATCCCAATGAAGATTGGCAAAAGTGCCAGGAGTCCTGCCTGGATGAGCAAGGAGCTCCTGGGCAAACTCTAACACAAAAAGGAAGCCTACAGAGGGTGGAAGCAAGGGCAGGAAGCCTGGGAGGAATACAGAGAAATTGTCTGGGCAACCAGGGAACAGATTAAGAAAGCTAAAGCCCTGAAATAATTAAATCTGGCAAGGTATGTCGGGGACAACAAGAAAAGCTTCTATAGGTATGTCAGTGGTAGAAGGAAGAGCAGATAAAACGTGAGCTCTCTCTGGAAGGGAACGGGAGACCTGGTTACCCGGGATATGAAGAAGGCTGAGGTAGAGAGACCTTGACAGGCTGGAGAGGTAGGCCCATGCGAACCTCATGAAATTCAGCAAGGCCAAGTGCAAGGTCCTGCACAAGGTCGGGGCAATCCCAAGCACAACTACAGTCTGGGCAGAGAATGGATTGAGAGCAGCCCCGAGGAGAAGGACTTGAGGGTGTTGGTTGATGAGAAGCTGAACATGAGCTGGCAATGTGTGCTTGCAGGCCAGAAAGCCAACCATATCCTGGGCTGCATCAAAACAAGAGTGACCAGCAGGTCAAGGGAAGTGATTCTGACCCTCTAGTCCACCCTTGTGAGGCCTCCACCTGGAGTAATGTGTTCAGTTCTGGGGCCCCCAACATAAGAAGAGCATGGACCTGTTTCCAGAGGAGGGCCATGAAGATGATCGGAGGGCGGGACCATCTCTCCTATGAAGACAGGCCAAGAGAGTTGGGGTTGTTCAGCCTGGAGAAGAGAAGGCTCTGGGGAGACCTTATAGCAGCCTTCCAGTACCTAAAGGGGGCCTACAGGAAAGCTGGAGAGGGACTGTTTACAAGGGCAGGTAGTGACCAGACAAGGGGTAATGGCTTTAAACTGAAAGAGGGTAGATTTAGATTAGACATCAGGAAGAAATTCTTTACTGTGAGGGTGGTGAGGCACTGGAACAGGTTGCCCAGAGAAGCTGTGGATGCCCCATCTCTGGGTGGGGCTTTGGGCACGTGGTCTGGTGGAGGGTGTCGCTGCCCAGGGCAGGGGGGTTGGAACTAGATGATCTTTATTTAAGGTCCCTTCCAAGCCAAACTATTCTATGATTCTATGAGGTTCAAGGATCTCTGCATATGAGAGTTAACATTACTTTAAGTTGAAAGGAAAGGATTATTTTTTTTTCTATTTGGAAGAATAATCTTGGAACTCAACTGAAGCCACTTGTCTGATGCTACAGGAAGGCTGTACTTATCCTCATAATAATGTTAAATTAATTCTGACAAACACCTGCATCAATAATTTTCAAGAACTACCAGACATATTCAGCAGTTGTTAGAGAGTGGTGAACCTCCTTGGATGACTGACTGTAGCTTTTATGCTCTCTTTCATAAGTTCCTGGAGCAGCAGGTCAGTAGCTGTAGTAGATAAAATTTTGTTCAGCATGACCTTTTACTAGGGTTCAGCCTAGCCTGGTTTAATTATATTCTGGGTTGCTTCATATTTATACAGCCTGGCCAGAATAATTTTGGCTTGAAGCCTGATGAGAGATTAAGTGAAATATGCAAAATGAGGCTTGCTTCATAGCAGTTTATGCCCTTTGTGTCTCTAGTTATATGTACACTTGTTCCTATTTTCACAAATGCCTTTTTTTCGTGAGTCACGTGCCATAGCTAAATGTGTTCCCAGTAGATTAGAAATGGTAAGAGGGGTATTGATGAAAATATGATTCCAAGGAGCATGATATGATTCATGAAACAATTGCTGTACAGCAAAAAAGAAGAAAAAAAAAAGTTAAAACTCTGTTTGGTAGGACAGTTGTGTGTGCACAGTTTTGTTCAAGCCAAAGTATACCCATTGAATACATAATGTATCCTTTGATTCATCATTAAGCAATTCAAAAAAGAGAACCCAGACAAGTTTCAGGCTTATGACATAATGCTAAATTATTCCCTGTCCATGTGCAAAAGTTGTTGGCGTTCTGTGCCTGATAAAGATAGCTGCACTGCTGCTTGGAGGCAGTGAAGGGAAGACCTCTTTTTGCCTTTATTTTAAAGACAGTCACTCAAGTGCCATGAAATCTTAGATTAATTTTGGCAAAATGCAAATGCAGTGACAATTAAGAAGAATAAGTAGGCTAAAAAGTCTTTAAAGATTGCTTAACTGTTTGTGGAAGGGTAAACAAGTGATGTAAAGACCATTCAGCATGTAGAATGTTTTAAGAAACAAGATCCACAGGCTGGAGTATACTTCACTATAAGAGTCAACATACAACATCAAGAAATATTGTAGCGAAATTATATGTGTGTATATTGATGAAAACAGTAGTCTCATACATAGGTTAAAATTAATTACTTTTTTTTCTCTTTGAAATATTTAACTGTGGTTAATCTTCTATAGATCTTTTTTGTCCATTGGCAAAATTCCCTGTGGGGATGATATTGGAAAACGTTTGGAAAGCTCTTTGTGACTGCATTCTGAAATTCTGTAGTTTCCTCACTGTTACCATGTAAAGAGGTCTGTGAAGGGCAAGGAACCTCATGTCAACTTTGTTTGTTGATGTCTATGAAGAAGATATCTTTATCCTCAGGTTCAGGATAAAGTATAAAACATCAGCTAACAGTAAATTCCCATATTACAACATTGCTTTGCAAATACGATGGCTTAGTCAACAGCAATCCATCTCATAAATCTTTGTTATAAGTAAAAATGGAAATGCCAGTTTTGGCCAAGAAATGCCTTCAAGTAAGTTCTTGGGTGTTGAGGATTTTTTTCACTTGTTGTCATCTCATCAAAAAAGCTAGAATCCTTTTTCTAACAAACACTTTTAGAGATCATAGCTTCTTGTTACTCCCAAGTTCCAGTCTTGCTGAGTGTGCCTGCCAGCTGCTGAGTACATACTAGGGACCAGTGAAAGCAGACGAATCGCTCCTGAGATGCACACATTAATTTCTAGTAAAACTATGTCAAGTCATTTCCATTGTAGCTTTTATTATACATCTTATGTAATGTTTTAAAAGTGATCCTGAGAATCCTGTGGGTAATATAAATTAAAGTTTATATGAAAGGCATATAAACCTTGTATGTGTAAGTACTTAGTTACATTTATGCTTATTTATTCATATTTATAAAAAATTTCTTATCAATGAAATTCATGTCTCCTGCTATATTTTCTAAAGGCTTATTCATTTAGTCTTATATGCCCAAGAGAAGAAGTAAGATGGTATCAAGTTTCTGTTCGCAAGGCAGTTACTGACTTCGTAAGTGATCTTGGGTAATTCATTTTATTCAAAAGCAACCTTTGTGTTTTCTAAGACCCTGCCCTAATTTGTCATAATTAGTGAGAAGCTACCATTTCAATTGGAGCTGAACAGATTTTTGACTAGAAACCAGATCAGTCTGTCTAAATCGGGGAGCATTTTTGTGAATGTTCTGTGAAGCTTTGTTTTGCTCGGTTTCCCCAAATGCAGCATGAGGATGGCAATTTGTACTTCTGCTAAGTATTCTGATGTCTAAAGGATAACAAAGATGCTGCATTTTCTAAGGTCTTTTAGCTTTAAGTGATGGATTTGTTTCAATAAGAATAATTCCTTCAAGTGGAATGATTTGAGGTTTAGTTGTGTTTATGCAGTTCCCATTGCCATGTGGTATCTTAGCACTATTAAAAAAAAAAAAAAAGGTCTCATATTTAACCTGAGACATCTACATGAGCAAATAACAGTTTTAGCCTACAAAATGCTACTCATTTCTCCTAATTTTAGTTAGGCATCTAGTCTAAGCCAGTGTTTAGCCTCCCTCCATACCCAAAGAAAAGACAAGCAGCTCATTCACACTGTCTTGCAGTCGAAATCAATGAAAATTGGAATGGATATAAGAGGTTAAAGGAATGCCTTCGAGTAAATACCCACACTTTAGCCAAAGTTGGGTAAGATAAATTATGCTGCTCCATGAAGTATATATAAACGCAAAATCAAGAATCACATGATTGT